TCTCTGTCTCAGTAATGTGCATGTTTACCTCCAGTTCTCTTTCCTTTTCTCTGAAGTTTTTCAATTCACAGTGAAATTGGTACATTCCTGGAGGACCAATGGATTTTTCAGTGGCTTCAAGCAACTCAATCTTACTCAGTTTTGCAAATTCTCCAACTTTGTCCTACAAAATAAAAAAACCAGTTACAAACCCCCCACTATTAGTTAGAACAGTGAGATACAGTAATACTGGATTTAAATACCACAACCTACTTCCTATGATCATCATATGACTTACAGCTCTATGCCGGATAGCTCTGGCATAGTTAAGCAGAGCATGGGATGACCATCTCAGAGTAGGAACCAAACGCTCCTAAACATTTGTAAGATTTCATACATGGGGTTTTTTGAGCTGTTCGGGAATTACTTAAGCTTTAACCTTACCAGTTTGCCAGGTTCTGAGGGTAGCTATTGAGGACATGGATTGGTTCATTATTTTTGAATTGGCTATCTTTCTTCTGAACAAGACAGTTTAATACAGACAATTAAAGGTTTTATTCCACTTTATTCTTAATATTGGTTCTCAAGCTGCTGAGACTATACCTTCCCAGTATAAACGCTATGACTAATTCAAAAGTAAAGCAATGTAGAAGTTAATATTAAGGCTGGCAGCCAGGGGTATCAGGAAACATTGCTGCTGTCCAAGACTAGAGTGAAAGATGTATTTGCCATTGCTACAGTGGCAGAGAGCAAACTGCCAAAACTTTCAACGTAGTAATATTCACTGAAGTGATATTTATGTCCTAAAGAAAAAAAAAGGTGGTTTAAATCCAAAAGTTATGTTGGCAGAGTATGCAGAAAGCTCTAAACAAATATTGTGAGTGCGTAAATAAAAAAAAATAACAAAACCCACAACAAAACAACCCAGAATATTTGTTTCTGCAATACTAGCTTTCTAATTTTTATTATTTTTCAGCATGTCTTCTTGAATGTACTTCTCCTTGAATAGAACAATAAACCCATGGTTGGCTAGGCTCTGATGAGATTTCCTTTTACTACCACCCCTGACGATCCACATGAACCGGGAGGGTCTGAGGAAGGAACTCACTACAACTTTTTTTAAGGTGCAATTGCGAGGCAGCTTAGTTATCTACACAGAAATGCTGACATGCCCGGGTGTGTATTCAGATATGGAAACTGCCTGTAGTATTCTTTAATCTTCTCTCTCCTTTAGGCACTATTTTCCTTCAGGATGATTTTACTCTTACATAATTTGATCCTAGATATCTTTAAGTCCTACTCACTGCTCAGGGAACCGTTGAGCCACAGACATTACCAAAAAGGCTCTAGTAGCAGTCTCTGTTACAACTGTAGAGTCATTTCATAGGACTGGCTTCTCTTTTTTGGAAAAAGAAATCCAGACAAATCTTCCCCTTCACTTACAAAGTACAGGATCCAATCCCGAGGAACTGACTTGATACAACCAGAGAACAGGGCAGACAGGGACTGACAGGGAAAGTCAGAGATGCAGATCTCAAGACCCTATAAAATTTAAGAACATTCCTACGGCAGCCTATCTCTCATAGACAGAGAGATACCACTGCTAGTGTTGCTACTCAAATGCCAGCATGGGGAGTATCAGCAGCTTTCCCTCCAGTGTCAACTGACAGCAGATACAAAACCATCCAATTAGTGAGCCTTGAAGGTTACGCAGTTCCTCCTTTCTTTCACCATCACACCAGTATGGCTACCTCATCTCTCTCATTCTTTGTGACATCCCATTAAATTGCTGAACTGCTACAAAAGCTAATAAGTAACAAAACCCTCTCTAAACACAGCACTCCATTTGCAACAGCTGTCTTTGATAATTCATTCATACCTGAGGAAGAAACTGGCACAAATTGTCCACCTGGATGTTTAAGGCTGCGATCTGTTCTTCTACTGTTTTCAGGGTTGTTGGCTTTCTGTTGATAAACCACGTTGATGTGTTGTTCACCACTTGAATCTCACGTGTGATAATGATATTGTCAGGTGTCTTAGATCTGATTAATAAAAAAAAGTGTTTATACTTTTCAGAATACGCAAAGGTTACCAAGTGTCAAAGTATGTTAGAGTTATCATATTAAAAATTTTAGATATCTAAATATTTGATATAAATTAACTGGGCAGTAGCAGCAGATTCACATTTAACGCTTCAGAAAACGTCCAGTACTTCAGTAATGAATTAATCTCACATGGAAAACACAAAGAATATCTACAAATCTTAACTCAGAGGAAGTAATTCATATAAATTACATACTCATGCTGAACGTATGAGCCATTTAAACGTTGTTAGAGATGTGAATAGTTTATATAAAAGTGTTATTTTTTTATATGACATTTAGTAAGCTTTAAAATCAGTATGCAGGAAGTGCACACTAATGCTATGCCTTTAAAGTAAAAAATATTAGTGTACAGAAGTACATCAGTAAGCTGTGTATAGCATTCCATTTACGAAAAAATCATATAGTATGAAAAATACTGATTTGTTTCCACTTTCTGCTTTTAAAGAACAGTAAGATGCATCAGTTGTGCACTTACACTCTAGCTCAACACTTATCTTCAAAATTTAGTCTAGTAAAGATGCATCGATAACAAATGAGCGATGCGACAGTCATAAATTCTTGAAAAGCTGGTCACCATTTTGATATAGAAATTGTCTAGTGCCTGTTCAGTCAGCATATAGCTAAAGATGGAGCATAAGGGCTCATAACAGTTCGGAGGCTGTGTACCTTAGGAGCTTTAAGAACAGAGGTGAAAGTAGAAGTGAGTAATTCAACAGCGTCCAGTGTTTGGAATAAGTGCCATGAGGATATGATCCTACTTCTTGAAGACAGTATGATTATTTCCCACAAGTATCTATTCCCTTAGTTTAAAATATCAGACTTTTTTCAAAAAACCTACAAAGCCATGCTCCTTTCTTTTATCAAATTAAGGCCTTTTTATTACTCTAAGTCTTGATTTTAGTTACAATCCAAGGGCCAAATTCAACCACGCCAGTGCATGCTTATAGAACTCAAAATTTAAAATTCCTCTCAAAAAGCAATTTTTGGCATCCTTGCTCTCACCCTAGAGGTTGCATTTAAATATTTTCTACCAAACAGACAAAGGACTGAATTACATTGCAATCACTGCAGTAACAATTCTAAGTCTTCATATACTGCAAATGTCTCTTCAGGCTTTCAAATAACATCAGGATCTATGTCGAAACAATCACACAGTCTACTTGAAAGACATCCTACATCCTGACCCACTGCTTGGCCAGTGTCCAAAGAATGTCTTACTTGATTACTCCCACAAGAACGAAAGTCGATATGACTTTTTCCGAGACCTGTTCTGGTATATCTTTTTTCCTTACCACAATTTTCTTTGTATACATTTGATCAGGGTGGCCAATTGTTATAGAAATTAACTTGGGCTCAGAATCTTTTGCTTAGCTCTATGTTCTATTTAGTTCAGACAAACACATCAGGTTAAACTTATCAAAACTACCTGTGCTATTGCAGCTTCATGTTAAAATCTCCATGAAAAACCATCCATTTAGGAATTCTATTAGGATAGTCTCTCTTTACTTGTCAACCCCCCCCCCCAAACTTACAGGAAGCACGTAATATTGCCCTATAACCACAAGTTACTGATAGAATTTTACAGAGTATGTCCAAATGATTTTCATTTGCTCTGGTTTGCAAAAGCTCACCTAGAAGATTGCATTAGCCAGATCTACTTTTTTATTTTCTTCTTTTTTTTCAGGATGTGATGTTTTCAGTAAGAATGTAGAGCAGCCCCTCATACCAGCAGTATCAGTATAAGAAAGTGAAGGTAGAACATCTGGTTTTAAAATTTTAAAAAATTTAAAAAACCTTATCGAGTTTTTTTTTTTCTTTTCTTCTTTAAAAATAATTTCCAAACACTTATCATGATGACAGTACTGACTGTATCTGAATCATCTGAACTTCAAATGTAATCAAAAGCTAGAAACACCATACACATCAATCTTCACCTATACATTCTTTGTACATCAAGATAAGGTAAAATGCTTTAGAAAGTGAAATCAAGACCAGCCACCACTGCTTATTTCTTGCATTGTAATTTTTTTAACCTTAAAATTTTGAATTCTGGGTAAAAAAAATAACAAAAAAAATTACTAACTTAAAGACAGACCTCTGTACACCACATTTTTTTTCACAACTTTGTGAATGACTGTGTGGGGAAATAATCTAATCAAAAATGCATGAGGAAACACAATTTTACTACTTACAGTTCAATTTCTACTACACCTTTCAAGCACCCCTGCTTTACAAAGAGAGCAACCTACAAAATTAATTATAGAAATTATTATTGCAAAATAACAGTGTATTAAAATGGAATCTCTTACAGAATATGTATTTATATAATAGAATTGCTGTAAAGGTATATTTTATCGAAAACTTACAATTAAAAACTAAAATTTATTTTGGCAGTCTATTAACTAAAAATAAAACAAGACACTATTATCTTCCTCATCAGCTAGCAGCATTAGATCTTCCTCCACAGGTTAACCATTTCTGATCAATTCGAACCTCCAAAACTGAACAAATTATAATCAGCAGATGCATAGACAGGAAGAAGTTCTCATAATTCAGGGAACAAAGGCAATACAAATTAAAGACATTGCCAAATATTTGTACTAACAGAACTGCTAATTCTAATAATATAAAAATATGAAAACAACATTAAAAGCCAATAAAAATATTAACACACATGTCATGCAGTCAACTTCCATATTTACATTTGCTCAAGACTGAGCTGCAACCAGAGAATATGTACAATCATTTAGGTATCTGGATTTAGTGCTCCAAAGATCTACTGAAATATATTCCATCCAACCAGAATATCCAAGAAAGCAACAGCAAAACTTAAAAAGTTGACAATACAAACTCCCCTCTTGGGAGCAAAAAACCCGGAAATAATAGTAGAACAACTCAAACCAATCCAACTACCATTTAAATCAATATCAGTGGCTCCATCCTTTTAGATAAATTCTCACACACATCACGGATATGTTATTTCTACAGGTTTTATATACTTGGAAATTTAAATTACACTTTTTAATGTATTTATTTATTTGTCCTTTAGGTGGTATTTCTCATCAAATGTTATTTATTCCTACCCCACTGTGGAGGCTTAGACATCTTCAGATATAACTCCTAGTCTACTTAGGGTCCAGTACAATTCAGGTGTTTCCATTTCATAATTCAGCCAAGACAGCAAGCAGTTAAGTAAGACAAAAGCCCTTTGGTAAAAACATTTGTCTCTGGACCAGGTTTTTCTACAATTTGGACACCTTACTTTTTATAAAAATAAAGCAAATCAAGGAAGACAGTCTTTTTTACCCTCCTCTGCTGGACAGGGCTCTTAATGAAATTCAGGCTAAACATGAAAATTACAAATACATAGTTACCTTATCAGCTCGCCCTATGAAAGAAGGTTTTCCAGCCAGTCCCAGGCAGATGGCACAAACAATGCTTGACTTTCCTGTACCATTAGCACCTACAATCATGTTCAGACTGGGTCCTGGACGTACTTCACAGACATCATATGTTCTGGAAAGCATGATAATTTTTTGAAGCTTATAAATACTAGGTCACCTAAAAAAAATTACTTACTTAAAACCACTTTATTATTATATTAAATACGACAGATAATTTTATCAAATCTAGACTCAATCCTTAAATACTGTTTTGTAAGAAAATCCTAAGAAAATGGACTGAAAACTACTAGTAACTATAAGAGCTCCAAACAGAACAGTATTCCTAACACACATAAGCTAGAAGAAGCACATGCAAAAGATAACACCAGATACTTTATCTCAGTGGTTCCCAAGGCCTGTCCCCACTTCCCCATGAACATCATCTGCACTCTCCCCTTCTCCACTTCTTGACTGTCACTGGGAGAAAAACACACATGCAGAAGCTGACATGGACAACAGGAACCACCACCTTAGGGGAAGACGGGCCAGCACGACCACCACTGGGGAATTCATCCCCACGGAAGCAACGCTGCACTAAGAACCCACGGGACTCCGTAATCCTCACAGCTGGTCTTCTCCGCACCCCCGCACCCCGCCCCGAGCAAGGCATCACATTCCAGGGAAAAAATGTTTCACTCACTCCTTCCTCCAGCCCCGACTCGCCT